GCATTGTATCCTATCGAACAAGCTTTAAGCCACATAAACACAATTACACAGCAAGAGAAATTTCCACACACCATGTCCCAAAAGATATGTATAAATACGTAAGGTCCAAAATCTGGTCATGATGAAATACATTGAAATTAAACTATTGCCACACATAGGAATCTCATATACACAATATTGAGACCAAGAGGCCGACATAAAACAAGTGTAAACACTATTATTACATTTATGAAACTCAAAAGCAGGCTAAATAATCTATAGTTTTAGAATTCAAGAAAGGGGTTGCCTTGTGAAGGAATGGAATTGTGACTTGGAAGAAAAAAAGGGCCTGAATGGTGTTGATTATGTCTTATTTCCTATTTGAGTGGTATTACACAGTGTTGTAGACATTCTGATAATTCATTTAGCTATTCATTATTGATTTGCACACTGTTTCTTATGTATGTTTCGATACAAATACTCGCTTAACTATGATACATGGTTATTTTAATTACCAGAAAACAAGAAGAGACTAAAGTTGAAAAAATAAAATTACTTCTTATTCCACTAGTGCATTGACTTCAAGTCTTTTATTTTTTAATACGTGGTTCACACATGAGTAATTACTCAGCATTGGTAGTTTTTCTAGGTTAACACAGATGTTAAGGAAATCAAGAAATCTTGAATAGACCAATAACCATAGAAGCATGAGAAAATGTTAAAAAAGAAACTATTAGACCCAAGATAATCTTTGTCTAAGTTTACTATTAGGTTGTCCTAACACTTAAAGAACTGGTAATTTCCATCCGCTACCAAGAATGTGTGACCGCAGCAAACAATTTATTTAAAAAAAAAAAAAAAAAAAAAAACTTTCCATTTATTTCTTCAACAAGATTTTTTCCCTTGCAGTTGTGGAATTAGTGCTTCTTTTTTATTTATTTTGGTCTCTTGTTTTCATAAATAATTACCTATACATTTGTTTCTGTTTTCCATACTGGTCATATGTTTTCTCTCATTGTTTTTACAGTTTATCTTTGCCCTCTGCAGTTCTGAAGAAACTGAGTGCTCCTTCAGTTTCCTTTGCACAAATCTGATTCTGTTCTTTGTTGCCTCCAAAGACAGATATCATTCTTCTGTAACATTTTGGTTACTTTTCAATTGTTTGTACTTTAGTTTATCCAATGTCTGTGTTTTTTATTTCTGAGTCATTCAATGCATACGCAAGGATGGAAAACAATTTTCTAAAACATTTTTTCTGGTTTCTGTATTAATTCTTGCTTTACATATGCTTTTTTTCTGAGATTTTAATTTTTCATGTCAAGTAATTACTACTGACAACCAGTTTTGCCTTAATGGTTTTGTTGTTATTTTTTCTTTACTGATCTGAGATTGTGATAAAAATCTATTGAAGTGTAGGATTTTCTAACAGACAAGTGACAAGATTGACCATTAGCCCTTGGTTCTACTGATAACTTGTTTGTTTGTTTTTTTTTTTTAGCAGAAACCTTCTCAGCTTCACGGTTGAAGAGCAGATTGTTATGAAAAAGCTCAGGACCAAATTCCAATGAGTAGCAAGCATTCTATTAATGCAATTTTTCTAGAATGTTGGTAGATGGTTCATCATCTTTCCCCACTCTGTGGTCTTCTCACCTTGATCTGATAACATCTCTAGAGCCTCTCTCTCTCTCTCTCTCTCTCTCTCTCTCTCTCTCACACACACACACACGCGCGCGCACACACACACTTGTGAGCATGCACACACTACTACTGTCTCTATTTCCACTATTGTAACACCTACAATGCTTTTGGGACTATATCTCTCTTTCCTGGGACATAATGCATTACTGTAAGTTCTTCCCTCCTTTCTTACATTTTCAGAGGGATCAGAAAAAGTAATCACCAAATAAATACAGATGTAGAGGCATTGATTGAAGAAAGGTGCCCATGTATGACTGCTTAATTTTCTGAGTGATACAAATCTTGGATCTTTCAGTCAGGGGGAAGAAGCATAGAGTCTCTCTATATTACTTAAGGCCATAGGTTTTCTTTACTTCCGTTTGTGAATTTCAATTTAGCAATGTAGAGTCTTCCCAGAAACTAATAATAGGTTGACTGAAAGTGTCAGTTTTGAATATTATCATAAAATGTCATCTTTCTCTGGGTGCTTACAGCCATTTTAAGCTAAATCAAGCACTGTTAAGCTGGTAGAACTTAAAAAAAATACTTATTTCTGACATCTTAAACTATGATAAAAAACATTCCATCAGCATAATTTTGAGAAAAATTCAATCTTCCTTTAATGTTTACTCACAACCAAAAGCTATTCCCGAACATCTGTGTAATATTACTTTGACACAGATGGTAAAATAGTTATTAATAAAATAGCACATGTAAATATTTGGATCCATTTCAGTAGAACTGAGAAAGCCACAAAATCATCTTACAAAGTAAATTTTCATTGCTGACTCAATGTGCATTTTACTTTGCACCCAAAAGTGCTGCAATTTTCTTTGGTAGTTTTGAAATAACAAGCAACGTTTATTTTCAAGCCCCTTCAATGTAGTGTGGAAATGAGTTCGTTTTTATTTCATAGCAGGCCAGGATCCACATTTATCTCTCAGAATTGTACACAGGTTGGTATACTGCTTTGAACTGACAAGGTCTAGTCTCCTAAATACAATTTAACTTACCTTTTCAAAGAATTAAAAAAATGAAAAAAGAAGAGACATAAAAAAATCTTGAGAAAGTTTTTCAAAAACACAACACATACTGAATTTTTACAAGTCTTGATGTCTTATAAATCAATGTAGAATAAGTCGTTCCTACAGGCTTCCAAATGTTTCCCCCAATTTTTTAATGTCAGTTGTTTCATACAACTCTTTTATAATTTTTGTCATTTTTCATTTTTCTTGCACCAGTTTCATTTTAACAATTTGGAAGTTGATCTTCTTGTCCCTTGGACCATAAAACAGGTTTGTTACTGTGTGTTCAGGAAGCCAAGGCTACTATGAAAATGCCTGGACTAGGAGATGGAAAACCTAGACTGAGTGTTACACTTGTATCACATGAGTTTTACCAGTGCTGTATGGTCAACTGTCACCTGTCTGTATGGTCAGGCTGGTGTCAATCTCTAAACAATAACTGGTCTGCATCATGAGGATTTATGGAGATTGGGAGAAAGTATGAAAAATGTTATAGAAATGAGGTAATTTGTTGTTTGTAGAATGAGGATAAATAAGAATAAAAATATAAATCTGTATATTTTCTATCTTCTTTTTATCTTTTTTTCTAGCAATTAATTTTTAGTAATTTTACAAAAACATTCAATCTGCAATGCATAAAAAATAAACTGACTCTTAACTCACAGAGTCTGAGAAGTACTGAGATCTAAGACATCCAGAGAGCCAGTTAATGTCTCACAACCTGAATTTCTTCATCTGTAAAAATATGAATAATGAACTCCACTCTGCATTTTTTACAGAGTATGTGAAAACTAAACACAATTATGTGTTCATAAGCTGTCAATAAATATAAGGTCTCATATAAATATATAGTCATCATGTATTAAGTAATAATTATTTGTGAAGTAGCATGGTGTCTCAGCTAAAAGAAGCCTGGCATATATTAGATACTAAAGGTTTTTTGACTTTATAAATAAATAGAAAAGTAGAAATTTTGGCAATGGGTACAATTGTATACAAAATAACTGTCTCATGGAGCAGCATATGATTTAAATGCAAGTCACATCATCTGTTAATAGCAAACTTTCTTCCTCTATAAAACAAGGATAATTATTACTACTAATTTCAGGTTGAGGCAAGGAACAAATAATACAGTAAAGTATTTAGTGGTTAGTACTTGGTACATGAAAAGTATTCAGTAAGTATTAGTCATATCTTTAAGTTCTTTATGCTAAGAAAACTACTGAATTCTTTATATGCAATGTCTTAGTTAATTCTTATAAAAATTTAACCAGATAACTATGATAATCTCCATTTTAAAATAAGGAAACTAAGACTCAATGTCAGCAACTTCCACAGTCCTACACAGCTACTTTAAATCCATGTCTGTCTATAAAAAAGTCTGGTCAAGTTTCCCACAGAATACCACCTCCCGGAAGTCTTCCAAGTCATGAGAATAAATTTCACAGTCTACATTTTAGAAGCTTTCTCATTTTTATTTATGAACTATGAAGACTTCCTGCATAAGACACAGAATCAACAGATTGCCTGAAACATAGAAAAAGGGGCCCACTTACCAGTTTGAATTGTTGGGTTCTTCATGCTGGTGATGGCCACTTTTGGTGCTCTGCTCTGAGCTTCTTCTCATAACCCTATTTCCACGCTGCCAAAAAATAGGAAATGAAAAGAAAAATGACACTCGCTTGCTTCAAGAAGGATTTTAATATATTAATGGCCATATCGGTAATAATTAACATATATAGTATTTGTTTTATAAATGTTTGAAAGAAACACAATAGGGATTAATTCACTTCACGTGTTTGTGATTTTCCATTTTGAAGGTAAGTATATTGTTACGTTTAATTGGAATTCATAGAACATAACAATCTATTAAACTTAATCATTAAATTATCTTCTCTTTTATTAAATAGATGAATAAAGGAAACTCATGTTTAAAGCCATTCATGTATCTGAAGATCTGTGTACTGAAACTCCAGAAGGCAAAATGGTATTTTGTTATAAAGTAATGAGGAGAAAACAGACCGGAAGGAGAAAAGGCTTGCTGTGTCAGTAAACCTTCCATTTCAAAGGTTAAAATTTGACAATGTGGTCAGCATGCAAGTCAAAGATTATTCCTTGTGGTTTCAGTATTTAATATATTGGAAAAGTCAAAAATAGTGATGATTAATTTATAAAGGAAAATTTAAACGCAATCAGTTAAAAACTGTAATCTGCTTTTGGAATTGTAAAATTGTAAAAGGAAATGAGATGTTCTTTTCAGGATTAGAATATGACGTTTCCATTTTCTTGATCAATCATTTGCTTCTTACCCTATACCACACCAACTCCCTTCTGTGACCCACAGAAAGAGAGAAAGATAAGTTGGCAGAAAATAGTAGAAACAATTCTAAGATAATATTCATTCACTCAAAAGAACTATAATGAGAAAAAAATGCTTTCTGAAAATTAATAGAATGTCAATCACTTTCCTTTAAACTTCATATTTACATATCAGATTTCCTCCATGACACTGCCACTTTTGTGACCAATGATAATGGCAATAATTATGTATTGTTTACACTGTATCAGGAACTGTTCTTAGCATTTTGGGGTATGATCTAATTTAATATTTACAACAACCCTGGAAGGCAGGTGTTATTAATATCCCTACTTTTAACAATGAGAAAAATGAGGTGCAGTTTAAGTGAACTATTCAAGATCCGCAGCTAGTAAAAAAACAGAGTAGGATTTGAACTTTTTCAGAACCCATTCTGATTTTATTTTATTTTATTCATTTTTTATTATACTTTAAGTTCTAGGGTACATATGCACAACATGCAGGTTTGTTACATATGTATACATGTGCCATATTGGTGTGCTGCACCCATTAACTCATCATTTACATTAGGTATATCTCCTAATGCTATCCCTCCCCCACCCCCCACCCCACTATAGGCCCTGGTGTGTGATGTTCCCCTTCTTGTGTCCAAGTGTTCTCATTGTTCAATTCCCACCTATGAGTGAGAACATGCGGTGTTTGGTTGTCTGTTCTTGCGACAGTTTGCTGAGAATGATGGTTTCCAGCTGTATCCATGTCCCTACAAAGGGAATGAACTCATCTTTTTTATGGCTGCATAGTATTCCATGGTGTATATGTGCCACATTTTCTTAATCCAGTCTGTCATTGATGGACATTTGGGTTGGTTCCAAGTCTTTGCTATTGTGAATAGTGCCACAATAAACATACATATGCATGTGTCTTTATAGCAGCATGGTTTATAATCCTTTGGGTATATCCCCAGTAATGGGATGGCTGGGTCATATGGTATTTCTAGTTCTAGATCCTTGAGAAATCGCCACACTGTCTTTCACAATGGTTGAACTAGTTTACAGTCCCACCAACAGTGTAAAAGTATTCCTATTTCTCCACATCCTCTTCAGCACCTGTTGTTTCCTGACATTTCAATGATCGCCATTCTAACTGGTATGAGATGGTATCTCACTGTGGTTTTGATTTGCATTTCTCTGATGGCGAGTGATGATGAGCATTTTTTCATGTGTCTGTTGGCTGCATAAATGTCTCCTTTTGAGAAATGTCTGTTCATTTCCTTCACCCACTTTTTCATGTTTTTTTCTTCTTGTAAATTTGTTTGAGTTCTTTGTAGGTTCTGGATATTAGCCCTTTGTCAGATGAGTAGATTGCAAAAATTTTCTCCCATTCTGTAGGTTGCCTGTTCACTCTGATGGTAGTTTCTTTTGCTGTGCAGAAGCTCTTTAGTTTAACTAGATCCCATTTGTCAATTTTGACTTTTGTTGCCGTTGCTTTTGGTGTTTTAGACATGAAGTCCTTGCCCATTCCTATGTCCTGAATGGTATTGCCTAGGTTTTCTTCTAGGGTTTTTATGGTTTTTGGTCTAACATTTAAGTCTCTAATCCATCTTGAATTAATTTTTGTATAAGGTGTAAGGAAGGGATCCAGTTTCAGCTTTCTACATATGGCTAGCCAGTTTTCACAGCACCATTTATTAAATAGGGAATCCTTTCCCCATTTCTTGTTTTTGTCAGGTTTGTCAAAGATCAGATGGTTATAGATGTGTAGTGTTATTTCTGAGGACTCTGTTCTGTTCCATTGGTCTATATCTCTGTTTTGGTACCAGTACCATGCTGTTTTGGTTACTGTAGCCTTGTAGTATAGTTTGAAGTCAGGTAGCGTGATGCCTCCAGCTTTGTTCTTTTGACTTAGGACTGTCTTGGCAATGTGGGCTCTTTTTTGGTTCCACATAAACTTTAAAGTAGTTTTTTCCAATTCTGCGAAGAAAGTCATTGGTAGCTTAATGGGGATGGCATTGAAACTATAAATTACCTTGGGCAGTGTGGCCATTTTCACGATAGTGATTCTTCCTATCCTTGAGCACGGAATGCAGAATCCATTCTCTTAATTTTCAAGGTATTCTACTACCTTTCAAACTTGACCCAAATTGGAACTGTTCATTTTCTTCATATACCTTCTTAAGTCTTCCCCCATTTTCTAGGAAACTGAAACGTTTGCCTTGTATTCAATCCAGAAATGTAGGCATCTCCTTGATACTCTTCATTTCCATGTGATTTTACAAGCTAATTATCGCTAAAATCCATGTAGTTCACTCCAATACTCCAATTGAAGCCACCATCATCTAAGCCTTAGAATATAGCAAGAGCTTTCCACCTATTCTCACTGATCCCACTCTTGACACCTTCTACCATACATTAATTACAGAATTCAGAGCATAAATCATCATTTTACTTCTTCAGTTAAAATTCTTCAATGGCTTTTTAGTGCACATGGAATAAAATGCAAGCATCTATCGTGGCCTACAACTTATGACATGAGCTGGCTGCAGCCGATCTCTCAAATATTACCATAGGTAGTCATTTTCCATTTTGCCACCAACTCATTCTCTAATAAGCCATGGTCTTCAGCAACTAAGGACTTTGGAAATCAACCCTGGAAGGCTCTGAGACTGGATACTTTTCATCCTACAGGTCTCAGTTCAAAAGTCACTTTCTCAAAGAAGTTTTCCCTGACACCCAAGGAGTCCTTCCTTCCATCATAACCTACAGTCATGTTTTAATTTATTTGTTTAATTTTCTATTATCTCTCTCCTCCTCACTGAAGAAACCAGTAGCTGTCAAATAGCCCTGAAGTAAGCTTGTAAAATGAGGCATCAGAATGATTATTTCAGGACATATATATTGGTTTTATTTATACAAAACAACATTTATATGTGATTTTAACTAGTAGCATTTTTTTTTTTTCTATCTGAATCATTCTGCTAAAACATATGCAGCCCTCTAAGCTTTATTTCTGATTTTTTTCCTCGGTTTGATTTAAAACATTACTTCTCAATCTTAAAGCAAATATGAGTTACATGGAGATTTATATGCACATTCATCAAACTGCATATTTTTCATTAAGTGAGTCTAGGGTAGGGCTGCAGAATCTGTATCCATCACATAGGTTACTCTGATGGTGTTGATCTACTCACCACACTTTGAGTAACAAGAATTCAGAAGATAGATCACAGTTTTAGATGGTTTCAGAAAGATTCTTGAATGTTTCCTATTGTATATTTCTGTGTGTTTGTGTAGGTTTTCCATGTGCAAAAATATTATTATAACAATAAGTTTTTTAAACGTACATTTTCTTCTTCAGACAAACACCATTTCTGTGAGATCAACAATACATCATTAAGTAGTTAACAAATCATACATACTTCTTCTCTTATTTACTTTGTAATTTGTCAATAATTCTGAATAAAGATTGTCCTTGCATTGAAAATAAGTGTGCATCCTGATGTCACATAATGCAGATACCCTTAAATTTAACAACACATATAATATATAAAATACTGGATTTTGGTAATTGGCCAATATTTGAGATAACTTCTGCATTTTTCTGTGCTTTGTTCTATATTTCTGATTCCTTTCACAGTATACATTTTAGCTTTCATTTATGAAGTCCTACAATACAGTGTGCTAAATATGTATGTTCATATACTTTTATGTACTTATGTTATTTCATTTAATTGATAAATTGATGGAATTAAAGTTAGTGGTAGTTATTATTTTGGGCTCTTACTAATGGCAACGCACTGTATTAGTGCTTTGTATATATTAATTATCATTACAAAAATAAACTATTAATACCTAGAGACAGAATTTTGGGATGGAGGAATTATTTCAAGCATATATGTTTTAAAAGTGGCAAAAATGATAATAAATTGAGGTATGCTCAGTCTTGTTTTTATAATCACGGGAAATTTAATTTTTTTAAAGAATCATATCTCTGCTAGAAGATATTTTAGGTAGCCAATTATATTACAAAAGAGAACATAGGTACTAGCTCTGTATTATATACTTTATAAAAGGAAAATATGCCAAAATAAGAAGTGTTTGTGAAAGCATAGGAAATGTCATTATAAATGTTACAGAATATTGATTCTAGTCCTTATTTCCAAAACTTAGCAAAAGATCATTTTATTGCTAAATATTACTGCCAAAGATCTTTCTGAAAGCATAGGTTTTAATCAATGTTGAAAGAATGAAATGAAATAAGTAGATGTTTAATAATGGCCGACTCATGTAAAAAACAAATGCTTATGTCTGACATATTTTTTCATTTAA